CGCGTAGGCCTGACCCACTTCTATTTTTCAGGTACACGACAATTCCAGGCTTAGACGTGTTCGTGCTGAGCAGAGGTCTCTATTCACTCTTCCGACGATGTAGGGCTCTCTCTATAGTTTTATTTCTGGACGTTTATTACAGTTGTTCTATTTTCCGTTTGGATGTTTAATAGGGGTCCACTAGAGATGGATTCCCAAGTTGTAAACTGATGGAGTTTTGGAGTTTGGGTTTGATGAATTTTAATAATTATAATATTTTGTGGATTCTATTTTTAGTTCCTTCCAACTTTAATTTCATTTCTTAATTTATTTTGTATTCCGTGTTCATTATAAAATATTAATTGTTTGATATTCCCTCGTGTTTGGGCCTGGACCTGATCAACCCGTGTCTCGGATCCAGGGGTATCTCATAGTCAACGTGACCGATCACCCATGTAATTAAAGAACTCTTCAAAATCTTCCAACCAATCTAGAAAATCTTCAACATGAAAGAGACCATCAAAACTACTTAGAGAAAATGTCCTAGAATTATAATCCCCATAATCATGATATCTTTATGCATCTATGACCCCAAATACCTTTTCCTCATAGGTTGACTGACTATGTGAAGGAAAGGAGTTAAAATAATGAACTGGACAAACACGATCTACGTCATCGTTGCAAAACCTGTTGTTATCTCTATTTTGCTCCAACTCAAGCCTAGCAAGTGTTGCTTGAATATCTTACAATGTTTGCCAGGTTTTACGTTGATAGTCTTGAAATTCGGCTTTAGAAAAATCACCCTTTGTTGATCTTTGTCACCAGCGAGGTTGTCATCACCCCGTTCATCTGCCATCAAACCATGAAAAGATAAGGCTATAATACCAATTGACGTCAGACGAAGCGATAAATTTGTTCACAACGAACGAGTTACTTTGAATCCATAAAATAAGGTGTCTTGAATCCACAAAACAAGAGATAAATTAAGAAAAATATGATTTATTGTATTAAATAATTCAATGAATATAATAATTAAATCTTCTCTTTGTAGTACACATAATTATAATAAAAGAAAACCTAATACTAAAAGAAAACTAAAAATATAAAGAAACCTAATAACAAATGAAAAATAACACCAAAAATAAACTTAAAAATAAAGTTTCTCTAAAAATTCTGAAAAAAATAGAATAAGAAACCTAATCAATAAAAAATACTAAATCTAAAATTTGAAAGCAATTAGACTTCGTTTAGGCCTTAAACAAAAATCCGAAAATAATCAACAAGCCTCATAACAAATAAGAAAACTCGATTTCGGAGCCTTACATAAAGGTTTTCAACCGAAAACAAACATGGTCCACAACCTAAATGATGTATAACTAATTGCTGAAGCCTTTATGGTCCGTTTGGACTGCTAGGGGGCAAAGGGGTATACTGATAGATTTTCTGGACTGATTCCGAAGTGAACCCGAAAAGAGTCCAGTTTTATTAAAAACGGCCCAAATCATAGATATCGGCAATGAAGCTGCCAAGGTAGGGCACCTTTTGGCCGAATTCAATCGTTTAGGGCTCGGGAATGGCGTTATTTCATTTTTGAATATTTCGGGATTTTCGTTAGAAAACTAAATGGATTCGATTTGCTTTTTTTTTTTTTTTTTTTTTTTTTGGTATTTAGTAGTTTTTAGTAATTAGATTTCTTTCCTTATAGAATATTCAAAGCAAGTTTGTTTTTGAACAGTTTCATTGCACTGCTAGTGTCCTTACTTTTTTAGGATTTCCTTTATGTTGTTAGAGTTTTTATTTATAAATACATGTACTGCAGAGCAGATCATTCATCCAATTATCAAATAATATATCAGATTTATCTGAATTATCTTTTCATTTTATTGATTCAAAACACCCACCTTATGGATTCAAGGTAATCTGTTACTCGTGAACAAATTTATCGCTTCCGCTTACGTCACTAAAGCTAGTGGGTGTTTCTCATTATGTCATTTCCACCCTCAAAATGCTCGTGGTTTGTCAAAATCGGACTTATTGGTCTAATTGAATTTTTGTTTCGCATCAAATGAAGATACAACATGCGTATGGAATGTAAAAGTCATCAACTAAAACCATATGGGATAGATGATGCGGCCAATGTAGTGAAAACAATTGAGGGTTCTATCTCTTCCTCATTTCTGATTAAAAATGTTGTGGAAGATATGAAAGTGTTTCTAAGAACTTTCTTAGATTTTTACACCAGGAAGCAAACAGAGCAGCACATACTCTAGCTATAATTGGCTATGATTGTCTTTTGCCTTGAAAAAAAGAAAAAAAAAATTGATTCCCTTCCTAGAAATCATTTCCTTCCTTGACCAAACTAGGCTCTCCTTATAGACTAAAACCTTCCGATAGCCATCTCCTTTCCATGATGTCTGAGATCTTTAGTTTCCCTAATATAGGTATTAGTGTTGTACAAAATTGACTCTCCAATTTCTAGTTCAAGCAAAAGTTTACCATTTTTCCAGAACCCAAGTGGACCTTCGACATCTAAAAGGGTTCAAGCATACCTCCTTCATCATTTCTCAACCCTGTTTGGATGATCATAACGAAACATAGCTATAGGATCATTGTACATAGAAAAATTCCCCCATTTTGATTTTGGCATATCAGGCGGCATTGTAATCGATCTCTTTATGACGTAGCAGAAGCCATGAATCATTCACAAGGACAATTTTGATTTTGGCATATCCGGCAGCGTTGTTGTCACTATGACATAGCGGAAGCCATGAATCATTCACAAGGTATGTGGGTAACTTTGAATCCACAAAATTGGGTCACTTTGAATACATAAAGTCGAAGAAATATCACAAAGAAATGTGATATAGTATGATGTAAGAGGAAGCTAAGATTCCACACAAGTAAAGAGATAAAATTCAGAGAAAAATATGATATTGTATTGATAATCGAATATGTGATTTTGCTCTCTACATTACATGTATTTATAATGAAAGAAAACCTAAAGCAAAAGGTACTAATTGCAATAAGAAACCTTAACACAAGGAAACTTACACTTGAAAATAAGCTTAAAAATAAAAAATTTCTAAAAATTCAAGATAAAATAGAGTAAGAAACCTAATCAAATAAAACTACTAAATATAAAAATTGAGAGCAATTCGAGTTCGTTGTAAAATCCCAAAATATTCAACAGGCCTTCTATAGGACAGAAAAATCCCATTCTGAGGCCTTAAACGATGATTTTTGGCCAAAAAATGGCATACTTCACGGCATAGTGGTTCATCTTGCTCATTAGGTCATTTTAAAAATAATAATAAAAAAAAAAACCCTCCCATTTTGGGTTTAAAAAAATGGACATTTTGGGATTAGCACATAAAATCTATCACTATGCTCGTTTGGCCCTTTGGTGGTCCAAACGGGCCATATAGGCTTTGGCATTTAGTTTTACATGTAGTGCGGTTAGACCTAAATCCAATAGATAATAATTGAGATCAAAATAAGGTGGAAGGTAAGTGTGAGGTAGGGAGAAGAACTTGGGATTCTCTTACTGTAGGGTTCTCAGCTAATAGGAATGCCTTAATTTTTTTTATTTCATTATATTACAACATTTCTAAAAATTTTATTTCATTCAGTTACTAGACTCTCACTCTAGTCAATAAAAAGACCCCAAAATTTTTTTTCTTTATACTACAACTTTCCCAAATTTTTTATTTCATTCTATTATTATAATGAAAGGCCCCAAAATTTATATTTTTTCCTATTATAATCCCCTTAAAAATTTGAATAATACTCAGGTCCGCACTAGTGAGGATTTTCACCGTACAAACAGCTGATGTAGACCAATAAATATAGACAATTTCTATATTAATTGTCAAACCTTAAATGGTAATCAAATCACCATCTTGATTTGGTAAGTGGGTATTTACCCGACAAATTAAATTTAGTAATTAAATATGACATGTCCATTTATTATAGTCCACATCAACGATTAAGGAGGACCTAAGTGTTATTCAATAAATATTGTTCATAGTTAATGCTGAATAAGGAGACGTGCAATGTTGTTGTGATCGTTGAGTTGTTTGCAAATGAAGCTAGGGGTTTTGCAAACACGCTTGAGACCCATCAGTGACTTCACGTGCAGCAATAAGAGAATCCCACGGGCAGGGCCATATAGAGAATCTCAATTATCGCTTTTTCTGGCGATAAGCATGGTGGACCCAGAACATTGCATCTCAATATATATATATTTATATTTATATGTTTTTATTTAAGTGCTATGTCAATCCTTTTCTTTTACCTAAAACAATATAAATACAAAAAAAATATAAAAAATTATATAACTATAAAAAATTGAGGATTCATTTCCTTAATTTTGTTGTAATTAATCTAAATCATGAATAAATGATTTGATTGAAGGTGGTGTTAATTTTTGTTAAAAGAAATCACCGGAGAATGAAAGAAAAAGAAATGAAAAGTTTTACAAGACAGTATTTTTCAATGCTATTGTTAGTACCATGTCTCAGTAAATTTTGAGAGGCAAAAAAAGACTTCAAACCATGGGCAATACAAATATTCTCTACTAGAGTACACAAATCCAAATATATATATATATATATATATCTCCTTTTTCCCCTTACACATTGTTCTCCTTCCTAAAACATGTAAGATACAAGATGCCTATGGAATGAAAGCAGTTAGTCAAGCAAACACAAATTCAAAAAATGATGCGCCAATGTAGCGAAAGCAATTGACGTTCTATCTCTTCCTCATCTCTTATTGAAAATGTTGTGGAAGAAATGAAAGTGTTGCTATGAACTTTCCAAGATTTCTCACTAATACACTCCAAGAGAAGCAAACAGAGCATCCCATGCTCTAGCTAGAATTGATGTCAATTATAATTTAAAAGTAACTAAGCTGGAGGAATTTCCACATCAGGTAGTGGTAATTATTGCACTGATATGATTTCTAATAAATAACACACTGCTTTTGCCTTGAAGAAAATAAAATAAAAATTGATGCCCTTCCTAGAAATTATTCCCTTCCTTCACTGAAACTAGGCTCTCCTTGTAGATAAGAACTTTAAGACAACCATCCTTCCCACGATGTCTGAGATCTTTAGTTTCTCCTGTGTTAGGGTTGTACTTAACAGTCTCTCCAGTTTCTAGTTCTAGAAAAAGTTCCCCATTTTCCCAGAACCCAAGTGGCCTTTCGACATCTAAAAGGGGTCCAATAGTTTGTGTTTTCATCCAACACTCTTCCTCGTTCATCAACCATATGTCAAATTCTTTCTCAACCCCATTTGGATCATAAATAAACATAGCTATAGAATCATTGGACATAGAAAGATCCCCACATTTTGATTTTGGCATATCTAGCGCAATTGTTGTCTCTTTAAAAACCTCATTACCCACATCAAACGAAAGGATCAGAATGCTATAATTATCCCCAATGGTTAACCAATAGTAAAATCCATTCAGGTATGTATTGCACAAGGATTCTTGTACGGCACCGTTCAACTCAACTTCGAAAACTCTCCAAGAATCAGTACCTAGTGTGTAGACTGAAACAACTCTAGGATCATATGATATATCAGTCTTGTCATCCCACAAGTTACGAATCCAAACAACCTTGTAATCTTTTGTAGTGAGGTCTAACCCAAACCCAAAATGATAAGAAGTTGGACTAAAATGGGGTGGAAGATTGGAGTTAGGTACTGAGAGAAACCTAAATTCTCTTATAGCAGGGTTCCAAAGAGCTATTTCAATCCAATTCCAAAGCCCAATTATACCATTAAGGGGACCTATGACTCCTGAATCACCACTCATATGTTGAACATCAAGATCGTAAGATAAAATGGGATCTTTAGTAAGTGTTTCATCAAGTAATATTGAAAAACAAAATTTTTCGGTGCAATAATTGAAATTTTGAATAAGGAGATGTGCATTGTTGCTGCGATGGTTAAGTTGTTTGGTAATGAAGTTGGAATTTCTGATGAGAGTGTTCCATTTTTTGCAAACAGATATGAAACGCAACAATGATTTCACGGGCAACCTTAAGAGAATCTCAATTACATCATTTTCTGACATGTGATGGTTACCACCGTCACTTAACATTGCATCTCAATTATGGTTGATTTAAGTGATAAATCAATACTTTTCTTTTTCCTGAGAAAATAAAGCAAATAAAAAAATTAATCAAATTAAGAATTCATTTTTGTCATAATTAATCTAAATCATGACAAATTCATATGTCAAGTCTAGCAAATTTTCATTAAAGCAAGCACTGCAGAATGAAAGAAAAGAAATGGAAAGCTTTAAAGACAGTCTAAGACATTACAAAAATTGTATGAATATATGAAATAATGATACCATAATGAATAAGAAAAAGTAAAGGAAACGAATTGAGTGATAAGTGGAGCTTCGTTGGAACCAGAAAGCAGTTGCCTCCGTCAGAATCAATTTTGAAGGAATCAAAGTATGTATCAGTATTATATACTTGATGCACAAATTTGTACAAGACCACAATAAAAGAGTAAGTATTATTTTGTTAAAGAAACAAAGGATTGATGAAATCATTCAGCTAATAAATAGAAATATTTCTACCCTTGTATTGGATTGTTGTCTGTGTTGCTGAAACGTCTGCTGCAAAAACTATTTTGTCAACGTGACGACTTCAGTGGTAATTTTAGTTACAATTCCATATAACTATAAGTTGGAAGTTCTCCAACCTTTCTAAGAAAATAAAGATATAGTAGAAAGTCTTAGAAATAATAAATTATTAATTTATTCAAAAGATTTTCTTACAATCCTCAAAATTTGTTCCTATGTTTCTTGAAGGTGCATTCTCCCTTTGCCAACTCTGTTCTCCATTTGCATTTGTAAAATGGATTAATTTCAGTGTAAAATTGGCAAATTTACACCTTTTAATGATTTTCAAATAAGGGGCAACCCTTACAAGGTCTAGCAACTTCTTCACAGTGTTTACTAAATTTCATTTAGACATGTGTTGAATGACAAGATCTTAGGATTTGTGAATCACACTTCTCGCTATGGACATTGCCAAATCAAAACAAATGCCAATCTCCAATCACATATGCTATTCGAGTTCTCAAATATGTGTGTATATTAATCCCCAAATTCACAGATCAAATTCCAACAACAGAAAAAACGGATACCAATTACATATAAAACGAATTCGAAGAGTTAATTTGTAGTTGTGTAAAGCTTTTGAACAATCAATCTAACATTGTATTTTCTTTTCTTGCGATTTTTGTTGCGTAAAGAATGTTGATAGTTCTCGTGTGCTAGAAACAAAATAAGGAATTCTTTAATCAAATTCCAGGGTCCAATTTGTTAAAAAAAAACAAAAGAACAAATGCGGCTTTAAAACATTAACAATTGTCCAGGCATTGATTGTTTTAAAATGTTTATTTAGAGAAAAAGAATATAATCACATGGATTCATTTATGATGTGGGATGATTAAATATATTGTGTATTTTAGAGAGGTTTATTGTATGTTTGAAGGAGTCTCGATCATGTCTTTTACAATCATCACAATGAATTTGAAAATAATAATAATAATTTGAGAGAAAGAATGAGAGTGATACCACGGTTTCTTCAGATATAGGGTATGTGCTTGCAAATTTAAAGAAAGAGGAGAAAGAAAGATGGAACTACAGCGGTACGGAGAACCTTGAATTTTCGGAAAACATGAGGTGGACTATTTTTATTTAGAAGAAAATAACTACTAGAAAAACTTAAGTTTGCCTGGGTAAGTTAAGATTCATGAAGAGAATGGCTACCATTCTTTTTTGAAGCCATTGAACGGTCAAAAGTTCAATGATAAGTATAGATTATATAAAATTAGCTCCTCATTTTTTTTTTTTTTTTTGAAATTGGCACTCTCGTTTTCTAGGTTTGCACTATTATTTAAATGAAACTCCTGCTCGTAATTTCACCCATGAAGGCATTAATGAGTTCTCTAATAAATTCTCTCTTTTTACCTAACAAAAAAACTACTAAAAAGAATAATAATAAAAAAAAGAAGTTTACAATATAAAGGAATAATCTTTAATAAGTTTCGGGACCTTCTCATTTTCTCTACAAAGAAAAATGCAGGTGCAGAGCAAGTGTAAAACACCGGACTCCCCTTTATATATTATTTTTTTTTGGATAAATTGTACTCACACCCCTGTGAGGTTTTGGTCAATGACGTCACTCAGATGTCAGTCAACGATTTTTTTAAACAATGACATCCATGAGCTTGGACCACTATTGTAAGCTTTCCTTATTTTTCCTTATTATATTGATGGATATTTTATTCCTCGCAAAGATGTTCTCATTAATCAAACTCGTAGATTTTTTGAGCAGAAATTATAATAAAATATCTAACCAAGATATTTCTTTTCCCTTATTATTTAATTTATTTATATTCACAAAATATCAGTCAGGTTAATGGACTAAAATACCCCCGCCATTGAGTACACTCTCACAGCCTCCATATCCTTCTTCGCAAAATCAATCCCAATAGAATAACCTAGGCTTTGTAGTGGTGACGACCAAGGCAATGAGGTTGGGCTTCGGCTCTGGCGGTGACGACACAACACCACCACAACCAGACATTACCACAACAACCACCAGCACACCCAGCCGCTGCCACCATCTACAACCTCCTAATTGTCGACGAGTACTGACCCATCAACGTTTCCAAGATCGACCACAGAAAACATGCACCACTGACATCGATTCTTCCTCTTCACAGTGAATCACCCACTGAATAAACGGCATCAAAGTTATTAACAGTACCCTCATCTTCGCCGACTTCCTAGCACTTTCTCCACATCACTGATATTGCCATCGACCTCACCCTCTATCAATTGTTCAAAACCCAAATTCCTTAATCTATTTACACACACGTATCCCAACGGTGGAAGAGAGAATCATCAGGATGTCAACCTTTGCAAGTGTTTAGAAAATGGACTTTTTAATGTGAGAGGTCGCTTCGCAAGGTCAAAATATGAATGTGGTTTCGAAAGTTTTTCTAGTCAAATTTACATTTATAAAAACCACTACTACAACTAATGAAGTATAACAAGTAGGAATCGTCCACAGAAATTATATGTGTTGGAATTTAACTTCGACTCTAGCGTATCAAAAGATTGCAAAGGAGAGATTGATTGTTTGATTACTCTAGAAAACAATTAAATTAAAATGCAATTAAAGGAAACTAGTGAGAAATAGGGATTTAAGAGATATGAAGAGAGGTCTTAGGGTGTTGGAATCACCACTAAGCTCATGTAATTAACCACTTGTTTTCCATTAATGGGGAATATATTGTTGTGAACAAAATGCGACTACTAATTACAGTATTAAGTATGGACCATCAAATTCATGTATGAATTGTCTACCTAACCAACAAATAAACTAAGTGTAGAACAACCCATCAAATCTAAGCATGACCCATCAAACTAGTCACAATTGTAACTCACATCAATCTAGAGAATCATGGAATTTGCAATAATAAGCCATGAAATATCAAATCAAATATAAATTGTCTACCTACCTACAAGCATAAATAAAATTGTAGGACAACCCATCAAGTATAAGAATAATCCATCAAATTAATTGACAAACTCATCTAACAAAAACCATGTCTAACCATCACTAAATTCTTAATTAATTACACATAGACATACAACCAACATAGATAAATTAGTGTAAAAATTAATTCCCAAATAATTACACAGAAGACAACATGTAATCAAATAGAGAATCAATAGAAAGAATTGATCCATATGAATCATGTAAGAAATAATTCCTAATTTAATCACACATAGACATGTAAATAAATTAGAGAATTAATAGGAAGAATTAAACCATAGAAATCATAGAAATATACTAAGATTCATTAAATTCACAAGGGTAGAACACTAATCACAACAATATATATAAATTCTTGATATGAAGTTGGACTAAAATGGGGTGGAAGATTGGAGTTAGGTACTGAGAGAAACCTAAATTCTCGTATAGCAAGGTTCCAAAGAGCTATTTCAATCCAATTCCAAAGCCCAATTATACCATTAAGGGGACCTATGACACCTGAATCACCACTCATATGTTGAACATCAAGATCGTGAGATAAAATGGGATCTTTAGTAAGTGTTTCATCAAGTAATATTGAAAAACAAAAAATTTCGGTGCAATAATTGTAATTTTGAATAAGGAGATGTGCATTGTTGCTGCGATGGTTAAGTTGTTTGGTAATGAAGTTGGAGTTTTTGATGATAGTGTTCCATTTTTTGCAAACAGATACGAAACGCAACAATGATTTCACGGGCAACCTTAAGAGAATCTCAATTACCTCATTTTCTGACATATAATAGTTACCACTGTCACTTAACATTGCATCTCAATTATGACTGATTTAAGTGATAAATCAATACTTTTCTTTTTCCTGGGAAAATAAAGCAAATAAAAAAATTAGTCAAATTAAGAATTCATTTTTGTCAAAATTAATCTAAATCATGACAAATTCATATGTCAAGTCTAGCAAATTTTCATTAAAGCAAGCACTGCAGAATGAAAGAAAAGAGATGGAAAGCTTTAAAGACAGTCTAATACATTACAAAAATTATATGAATATATGAAATAATAATACCATAATGAATAAGAAAAAGTAAAGGAAACGAATTGAGTGATAACTAGAGCTTCGTTGGAACCAGAAAGCAGTTGCCTCCGTCGGAATCAATTTTGAAGGAATCAAAGTATGAATCAGTATTATATACTTGATGCACAAATTTGTACAAGAGCACAATAAAAGTAAGCATTATTTTGTTAAAGAAAAAAAGGATAGATGAAATCATTCAGCTAATAAATAGAAATATTTATACCCTTATATTGGTTTGTTGTCTCTGTTGCTGAAACCGTCTGCTGCAAAAACTATTTTGTGGGTAATTTTAGTTACAACTCCATATAACTATAAGTTAGAAGTTCTCCAACCTTTCTAACGAAATAAAGATTTAGTAGAAAGTCTTAGAAATAATAAATTATTAATTTATTCAAAAGATTTTCTTACAATCCTCAAAATTTGTTCCTATGTTTCTTGAAGGTGCAT